TCCAAAATTTACAAAGAACACAAGAAGCAAGTCTCCAAAACACCAAAGGATCCAATTAAAAAGTGGGATACAGAACGAAATTGAGAATTCTCAGTAGAGGAGTATAAAATGGCTGAGAGACACTTAAGAAAGTGCTCAACATCCCTAGACATCCAGGAAATGTAAATCATAGCATTCTGAGATATCTTACTCCTGTTAGAATGACTAAAATCAAAAACACCAATGACAGTTTTTGCTGGAGAGGACGTGGAGAAAGGGGAACACTCCTCCACTGCTGGTGGAAGTACTGACTCATACAGCCACTTTGGAAATAAGTATGACAGTTCTTCAGGAAAATGGGAATCAGTCTACCACAAGACCCAGCAATTCCACTCTTAGGCATATACCCAAAAGATGCACATTCATACAACAATGATGTCTGTTCCATTATTTGTAATAGCCAGAACCTGGAGGCAACCTAGATGCCCCTCAACTAAAGAGTGGATAGAGAAAATGTGGTACATTTACACAATGGAGTACTACTCAGCAGAAAAAACAATGGGATTTTGAAATTTGCAGGCAAATGGACAGCACTAGAAGAAACCATCCTGAGTGAGGTAACCCGGTCACAAAAAGAGAAACATGATATGTACTCACTCATATATGGATTTTAGACATGAATCAGGGGAGTGCCAGCATACAATCCAACTGCCAGAGAGTCTGGGAAACAGAAACTTCATCCAGCGACTGATGGAAGCAGAGGCAGACAGCCACAGCTAAACACTGAACTGAACTCCTGGAAACCAGTGACAGAAAGAAAGAACTGAGGAACAAAGGGGTTAAGACTAGGCTGGTTTAACCCACAGAAACAGTTGATCTCAACAAGGGAGAGCTCTTGGACCCCAGACTGATGGCTAGGTGGACAGCATGGGACTGACCCAGACCCCCTGAATGTGGGTGTCAGTGAGGAGGCCTAGGTAATCTATGGGGCCTTAGGTAGTATTTATCCCTGGCATACAAATAGATTTTGGCTGCCCATCCCACAATGAGGGATGCTCTCTCAGCCTGGACTCTTGGGGGAAGCCCAGGCCCTGCCCTGGATGAAATGACAGACTCTGGAGATCCTCCATGGAGGGCCTCACCCTCCCTGAATATCAGAGTGGAGATTGGGTGGGAGACTGGGGGACCTGGTGGGGAGAGCGGGGGAGGAGGGGAGGAAGAGGGAGCTGGATTGACATGGGAAGCAAGCTTGTTTCTAACTTAAATTTTTTTTAAAAAGGAAGGGGAAAAAAGAACCAATGAGAATTTTGAGGAGGCTGAGTTGGGAAAGCTTCCTTCAAGTATGCCTGGGTCTTTGCTGTGAGCATGGTATCACTGGTGGCATCTCTCTGTGGAAACTTGAGACTCACAAATACTATGTGATTATCAGTGATGCCCCAGCACAAAGAGACTTTACTAAAAGCACGAGCACAGGCACATCTGGGGCTAACCATGAGGTCCTGAATCTGGTACTTCCAACAATGGCAGATCTGGGGGCATGTCCCGTGTGAGCATCACACCAGGTGTGAAATAGTTAAATGTTGACATCAACAAAATACCTTCCACTGGGCCACCTTGCAGCCAGAAGGAGATGTGAACCATTTACATTTAAAACAAACAAACAAAGCTGACTGCAACTCTGACGTGATAGCATTTGGGCCAACTTCTGTTTGGAAGGGTGACAACATGTTAGAACCACTGATGTGCTAATGAACCTTGGGTCACGGGGACAGAAGTCATCTGTGTAGATGTCAATGGGACTACATCCCCGCCATCATCTTGTCCAACTGACATAAGCATCTATATGTATATGTTGTCTGTATACTGGGTGTCTATAAATTACTGGTAGTGGTAATGCCCCTGTGTGCTGACGTTTTCTCAAACACATCATGTTTGTCACTTTTGCTGCAGCCCATGTCACAACTAAAGTGTGATAAAATGGCCCGTGAGGCTTTGCGTGAAATACCTCCTGGGGACAAAGCGGGCTTCAATGGCAAGAATATGTTTGTCAAAGATGTTTGTCTTGGCAGCATTGCTGGGGATGGCAAAAGCGATCCCTGAGTGGAAGCCTCACCTCAAGTGATTGTTCCGAAACCACCCAGGCCAAACTAGTGCTGGCTCCACCCTGCACTGGGTTGCCACTTGGCTCAAAGCAAATTCACTGAACAGAAAGAAAAGATAAATGGCCACTCTGATACAGTGCTGGAAGGTGGCCCTACAGCATGGGAATCTGGAGACACTGTCATCCTCAGCATGGCGCCAAGCCAAGCCACACAGCTGACGGCATCTCTGACTATACTGTTCTGGACTGTCATGCTGTTTGTGATTTGAGACAGAAGGCTGCTGTCAGTGTCATCAAAGCCGTGGACAAGAAAGCAGTGACTGTAAGTCCAATTAGACAGCTGTTATTTACCCCTCAGATATAAGTGTCACTACTGCACCTTGAAGGATACCTTGCTGTCACACCTGCTGTGCGGCCTGCATCCGAGAATGTAGCGAGGTGGTTGGGATAGATGACACAGAGACCGGTCGGTTGCTTTAAGAAAACTTTATGCTCCCCACATCGGCTTAGGAGAACTCCCCAAGAAAAAACGCTTCCCTTTTTAAGGACTTCTGCCATCCATCTACATACAATCAATTCTTTCCAGACTTCTCACCCTCCTGGCTGGTGGTTTAATCTCTGGCCCCAGAATCGGGGAGACACAGCAGGGAGCAGGAAGAGGCATCTAGCCATAGGGGGGATCAAAGTCATGGTGTTTCAGTGAGCAAGCCCTTAACAGAGCCCTATCAAGAGCTTTATTTCAGTAAACATTATCTCGCAGTTGCCTGCTCCCAGGCCTAAGGGGAAGTGGGTTTCTGCTCAAGGTCTGGTGTCCCCACACCTTGCCAAGTTGGTTACTGTTGCAGTTCATAGACTTCCCGTAGTTCTTCCAGTACTATGAAAGCTAGTCCCCTGGGAGGAGGCTTGTGGGTCAGACCCAGCTCCATTCCTCCATAATGATTTTAAAGGTGCTGTAGGAGTAGGAAGACCATCAGCTCCAGCCCAAAGGTACAGACACACAATCTAATGGGTCCTCTGATGCCTCAAAGTTCAACTAGTAGAAAGGAGACAGGGAAACCCAGTCTAACACAGGCATGTCTGTGTTTAAAATGGAACAGTTGACAGGCAGAGCTGCCCAGAGGCGAGAGCTCAGGAAAGTTTGCCCAGAATTTGAATCCTAACCAAGGATCCTCCAACTTCTGCCTGGCTTGGCTTGGGAACTGCTATAGGCAACTTGGTGCCTCCTGCTTCCTTCTTGGAATAGAATATTCCTTTTGGTTATTCTGTGCCCATTCCACCATTGTATTTTGAGTGGGATTTGGCAAGTAACTTGTTTATAGATCATAAGCCTTTAGTTGAGAAATAAATTCACTTTTTACTTGCTTATACACACATACACACAATTGTGTATTTGCTAACTTTTTTTCTTAAGAAGAGTCTCACTATGTAGCCCTGGCTGGTCTAGAACCTCATATGTAGTGCAACCTGGCTTCAAAGTGAGAGATCTGCCTACCTCTGTCTCCCAAGTCTGGGACTAACGGCATGCAATGAGCACACTTGGTTTTGTACACATATGGTTTTGGAAAGAGGACATGGCATCAGGTGACTGTGAGCTCAGTCATGAGAGATTAGAAACCAGAGTCACTAAACTGCATTTTTTGAGTTCCTGACTAACAAAGACTGTGTGATATGTATCACCTCATTATGGCCTTGTTTTACAGTGACAGAACAATAGATAACTACCATATAATGTGATGTCATTGTGCATATGGTAATTTCAACAACACAAATAGATGCTGCAAGCTTAATTTCTGTTCCTTACAAGAAATGGAGAGAGTCATGTGACCCCGAGGTTTGCCTCCATGGAAGAACTCAACTGTCAGCATGTATCATGACAGACTTGGAAGTCTTTTCTTGCAACTCTCTTTTCAGAATTCTTGCTGTGGATATGTGTGGCTTGGGCTTGCCTGGCACCTCATTCTCCTTGAGCTAACAAAGCCCTGCTCACCTCTCCATCCATGCCGCTAATGGGGAACCTCACTAGCTTTCTCCTAGACAGGGTATGAAATTAAGCTTCTTGACTGGGATCCTGATTTTATGTCTATGAGATTGGACATGTGTTTTCTTGTGAGGAGTTGGCCCTGATCCCTGTAGCTGCCAGGATGACATAATGTGGAGAAAACCTGCCTGAAATTGAAGCTGAGAGAGGACAGACAGCTGGTGATAAGATAGGGGAGGAGACACAGGGTCTGGTAACCTTGCTTGTATCTAGATGTGTTTATCTCCAAATGTTACATAGAGGCCTGTCACAAATTAATGTGTAAGTTGCTCTGAGGAATTTATTATAAGTGGATTAGTCCCCCCTTTTTTCTGTAAGGGTGAGGGCACTAGGATCACAACCCAATTTTGAACTACTTAGCCAACTTCTTTTCAAGAACATTTAAAAATTTTCTAGTTTATCCTATTGTCCATGTGTTTTGTCTGTATGTAATCTATGCACCACGTGCATGCCTGGTGCCCTCTGGGGCCAGAAGAGGGGTGCTGATTCCCTGGGACTGGAGTTGCTGGCAGTTGTGAATGCTGGAAATTGATTCTCTGGAAGAACACCCAGAGCTCTTAACTGCTGAGCGAACTTCTAGCATCTGTTTATTAAGTTATCTTCCCATCAGTCGTACTGTGATTAGACTTATTGTAATCTCTGATGCATTTTCGCTCTATCTAATCAATTTAAATGCCTTGGGAAAATTATTCGTTGACATTAATCTCTACTACAGAAATATTCTCTTTGAATCCCTTTTTGTTGTTGTTGTTGTTTTTCCCGAGACAGGGTTTCTCTGTATTGTTTTGGAGGCTGTCGGTCCAGCCCGGCCTCGAACTCACGGAGATCTGCCTGCCTCTGCCTCCGGGGTGCTGGGATTAAAGGCGTGCACCACCACCGCCCGACTGACCTGGAGGTTTTTAATCAATCAGAGCCCACAAACCATCTAAGCTTTGTGGCAAAAACACCGCCGGGGGAGGGAGGGTAGAGGAAGGAACAGGTGATGCCCCAGGGCCTGTTTTGAGGTCTAACTCTAAGAGGTCCCCGGCACGGCAGGCGCGAGCAGGACGTCCCGGCGGGGTGCGCAGCCTCCTGGTACTCGCCCAGACCAATTTCCGGGCCGTTCTGGGCTCAGAGGCGGAGCCCGGGCAGGGCGGGAACTTGGTCATCTGACTCGGTGACCGGGGCACGGATGCTTCTTTCCCAGTAGCCGGGGCAGGAAGGCAGGTCGGAGGACTGTTCGGACAGACCGCCGAGCTGTCATGCGACCGTCCCCGCACCGCGCCCCCGGGCTGCTGCTGGCGCTGCTGGCGCTGCTGGCGCTGGCGACGCAGGCCCCGGCCAAGGCACCGGCCAAGTCACTGGCGCTGTGGCCCTGGCCGAGCTCCGTGAAGGTGTCCCCGAAGCTGCTGAACATCGTCGTGGAAAACTTCCTCATTGACCACGGCCCCAATTCCACTGCTGGCCCCTCCTGCTCGCTGCTGCAGGAAGCGTTTCGGAGGTAAACAGCCCCATGCGGCACGGAGGGGACCTGGGACAGAGAAGTGGACCACCAGCCAACCTGGTCTCACAGGTCTAGAGGATGGCATGGCAGGTCTAACCTAGGCAGACCGAAATTTAGTGCTTGACCTGCCCTTGCTGCTTCCTGGGTACAGGATGTCAGCGGGAGGTGCAGCTTTAGCCAGTTTGTTGGCCTCAGAAGGTCGGTTGAGATGGCTTCATAGGTAGGAAGTGAGCATCAGACCGGGCTTAGGGAAGGATCCTTGAGGGCCCGAGGTATTTCCCAGTGCTGACCGTGGCTTTCAGCTCCATACTCCCCATGCTGGCAACAATTCAGATGTCCTTTTATCTCTGCTATGTTTTCTCCAAGTGTATCCGAGCCTGCACGAATTTATGTGTACCATGAGCCTGGAGGTAGCCGCAGACGCGGAGGACTTGGAATCTTGGTGTGAGCACCCAGTGCGCGTACTGGAACCAAACCCAGGTCCTCTGTGAGAGCAGTACTTTGGGCTCTAAACTTCTGAGCTATTTCCCCAACTCTGAAAAAAAAAAAAAGCCCTCAAGTTGGAGCATTGTGGGAAACCTCTCCCTTCCAAACTGTATTCCATTCCTAATGTTAGGTATTCAAAGCTCAGTACTTACTTTCAAATAGCTCTTAGATAAATGTCTGCTTTTCTTCTTGTTCCTCAATGTTGGGGTTCCCCGAATTGAGGAGGGGTCCCCAAGCTGGATGTGCCAATTGATGCAACACGCAAGAGGTTTTAATTAGGCATCTACAGATGGGCCTTTAGGTCAGCTTTTAGACCGATTGGCCCCGAGGTTCAGTTACAATCAGCTTTTAAAGACAAAAACCACAAGCCTTTGGGAGGGGTCCCTATCTTGTGACCGGGGGTATGTGACTACTGACCAGGGGAAGTAGGTGTCTTCCTGTTGTAAATTCCTCAGACCTTGGTATGAGTTAATCATCTTTCCCTAAGTAAATGGTGGTTATCATCTCATCGTTTCCCACGAATCTTGTTTGCCCATCTCTGACGCCCTGGTCAGTTCGGTCAGTTTGTCACAGGTGGTCAGCAGCCCGGCATTTGGCCTTTTGTGGGTTTACAGCCCTTCTGCAATTCAGGTTGCTAAACCATACATTCCATTCTGTGGTCTTTCATCAACACTTGGCTTCTTCCCCCTCGGTTCCCTAAAACCCTTTAGGTGCACTGCACCCCAGGAAGGCACTCACCCCGCTTGAGCGTTGCCGACTGTATCAAGTGCAGGCTAGGTGGCTTTTGCAGTGACGGTTGACTGTGCCACCTTCTGTCCCCTCAGTGCCAGGCCCCGTGTGGGTGGGACTGCCCCAGGGAACCAATCTGGTGCCACCTGTGCAGCTTGTCTTCCCTGCCAGATCTTGTCTGTGACTGATGAATTCAAGTATAACCTAACTTTGCCTGTAGGACACCAAACCAGCTGCCCAGGAAATGCAAAAAAAAAAAAAAAAAAAAAAAAGTTTAGAGTGGGTCTTTAGGCTGTGGTACCTAGGCTTCTGCTGAAGAGGCCCGAGACACGAGACATTGTTGGCAGAAACAGCAGTGTCCTCTGCCACAGAAAGGCTACTGTTTTCCTTATCATCTGTGCAACTTAGAGGATATTATCATTCTGTTTTGGAAGCTTGCTCTAATAAGCTTTTTAGGAGTTGAATTGCTAACAGGTTGGAATTCTTGTGGTCCAGGTGGCAGAATATAAAACAAGCCAGGCGGTTTAATCCCAGCGCTTGAGAGGCAGAGGTAGAGAGGCAGGGTAGTTCTGGGACAGCCAGAGCTACACAGAGAAACCCTGTCTCGAAAAACAAAAAGTAAAACCAAAGCAGCTGGCTGGTAGTATTGAGATGTTAGGATTGTAACTCAGTCACTGACATGCTTCTGCTTTAGGGGCTGAATGTACATCTGCCCTGATATGAGCTTGAGTAGGTATGACTTACTTGTTAATAAACACAACGTTACAAGGGCTTGAATCAGCTGTGAGATGGTTTGAAAACATGCTCGGCATCCAAAACAAGTGCGGGCATTATTACCTGAAGGATTTGCCTAACTAATTTGTACCCTGTATGAGAAGCAGCTGGTGACTGTACCTGACTTTGTTTGGAAGCTGGCTATAAAACATGGCTAAACCTTGGGAGCATGCAGCTGTGGCCTAGTAACTCCAGCAAGCATGGTAGAAAGGGTTGGGAGTCTCTGAAAGCAGGGTTATCCAAGGGTTTCTGGGTAGTGAGCATTCATAAATTCTGGGCTGTAGTTGAAGCTTTCCCCATCCCAATCGCCTGCTCTCAAATAACCAGTGGCAGCTTCCTAAAGAACTGACTCAGAAACCTAATATAAATTATAAATGCTCGGCTGATAGCTCAGGCTTGTTACTAGCTAACTCTTTAACTGATATTTCTTATCTAGGCTTTGCCACATGGCTCATGGCTTGTTACCTCATTCATTTTCTACACATCCTACTTCCTTGGCTGCTCGCTGTCATCTCCTCTGACTCCACCCTTCCTCGTCCCATCATTCTCAGTTTGACTTTCCCACCTGACTTGATGCTGTTCAGCTATTGGCCAGTCAGCTTGTTTACTAAACCAATCATAGTGACACATATTCACACAGCATGCAGAGGATTATTCCACAGCAAGTGGCTTCTATCACTAAGAGCCCTAGCCGCATCACAAACAATGCTCTCTGTGGGGATAGTTTGGCTGGTCACCGTGACTGCTTCTTCAGCTTGGGAAACCTACTAAATAGTGGGCACAATTTTGTGTTTTTGTTTGAGAGAGGTTCTCACTATGTAGCCCTGACTGGCCTCAAACTCACAACAGCTCCTGTCTCCCTGATGGTGAGGTAATGGTTAGATTAAAGGAATGGACCATCACACCTGACCAGGAACACCTGTTTTAAAAGAATAGCTTCCATCCTCTAGTTAACTGGAAAGCTAGCTAGCCCCTAACTCAGACCTCAGATCTTAAAGCTGGTTAGTGGTCCCTCCCTCCACCCCACCTCCCACTCCACCCCATACTGGGAGGGCCTTGTACGGGCTAGGCAAAGCTATACCACTTGAGCTATACCCTAACTCCTTTTAATTTTAATTTTAAAGAGATAGTCTTTTATAGCCAAGTAGTGGTGGTGGTGCACACCTTGAATCCCTGCACTTATGAGGCAGAGGCAGGTGGATTTCTGAGTTCAAGCTAGCCTAGTCTACAGAGTTCTAGGACAGAGCTTCACAGAAAAACCATGTTTTGAACCAAACAACAAAAAATTGTTTTACGTGTATGGGTGTTTGGCCTGCACTATGTGTGTGCACCACTAATTCCTTCGAAGGCCAGTTACAGATGGTTGTGAGCCACCACGTGGGTGCTGGGAATTGAACCCAGGTTCTCTAGAAGAGCAGCCAGTGCTCTTAACTGCTGAGCCATCTCTCCAGCCCTAAGTTTGAAAGCTTTTAATTATGGTAAAATTCATGTGATTTCTTTTTTCTTTTCTTTTTTTCTTTTTTTTTTTTTGAGGCAGGGTTTCTCTGTATAGTTCTGACTGTCCTGGAACTCACTCTGTGGACCAGGCTGCCTTCTAACTCACAGAGATCCCCCTGCCTCTGCCTCCCCAGTGCTGGGATTAAAGGCGTGTGCCCCCACTGCCTGGCCATATAAAAATTTTCCATCATAACTTTTAAAAAATACGTATTCATTTTTATGTGTATGGATGTTTTGCCTGCATGTATGTCTGTGTACCATGTGTGTGCAGTGCCTGTGGAGACCAGAAAAGCTTTCAAAACTCCCATGTATGAATCTCATTCTCAGAAAGTTTAATCTGAAGGTCTGCACATCAGGATTTCCAGGAAGTTCCCCTAACTCAATGGTTCATTGCTACTTCATAACTGATTTTGCTACCAAGTGGTGTTTCAGTTCCTAAGACCACTGGAAATGTGTGTTTTTCCAATGGTCAAATCCTATAGCTTGAGAACCACTGCCCTAACAGTTCTGAAAACACTCTGAGGAACTCTCTGGTTAGATTGAGCTGGCATGAGACTTGAGAGTTGACTTCTGTGTCCCCTAGCATGTACATGCAATTTGGTTCATTATTGAAATGGATTTCTCCCACAGATATTACAACTACATTTTTGGTTTCCACAAGAGGTATCATGGCCCTGCTGAATTTCAAGGTGGAGCTCAGTTACAGCAACTTCAGGTCTCAATTACCCTCAAGTCAGAGTGTGATTCCTTCCCTAATGTGTCTTCAGATGAGTCCTGTAAGTACCTATCATAAAATGTAGTCTCTGTACACAATTTGTAAGTTTGGGAGTAGGTGTGGAAGGAAGGAGAACTCACCTGTCCATGGCCATGTCAGGTGTCCAACATGCATGTTGTTTGCAGCAAATGGTTTGCATGGATACAAACATTAATAGGAAAATGGGAATAAACTGAGTGTGGCACTGGAGAGGCTGAGGCAGGAGGATTGCAGTGAATTGAGGCTACCCAGGGCTTAGAGTATGACCTCATCTCAAAAAAAAGAAAAAGAAAAAGAAAAAGAAAGAAAAAAGAAAAGAAAAAGAAAGAAAGAAAAGGACAGAAAATGGGAGTTTTTGTACATGTGGATTTTGACTTATTTTTACATAATTATAAACTTCATTAACTATTCTTTTATGATATAATTTCTGATGCCTCAGTATTTAACCACTGTGTGGTAGAATTGAACTAATTTTAATTTTTGAGGCTATGGTATTTCTTTTGTCTTTTTAAAAGGTGTGTGTGTGTGTGTGTGTGTGTGTGTGTGTGTGTGTGTGTTTACATGCACACATATGCTCATAGGCACTCACAGAGGGCATAGAATCCCTTGACTTGGAGCTATAGGTGGTTGTGAGCCTCCAGCCTTGAGTGTTAGGAACTGAACTGCTGTCCTCTGGAAGAGCACCAAGCACTTTAACTGTTGAGCTATCTCTCCTGTCCTCAACATCTGTCTTTGAAGGCAAATTAGAGCGTCTTGCATACTAGACCAGCCTGCCCACGGGACTGTATCTCTAGCCTGGTGCATACTTTCCCAGGAGGGTGTGTTGCCTGGCAACAGTGTGGAATGATGCCAAGGACTCAGAGACACAATGGAAAGACATATACTATAAGACAAGTGCCAGGAAGAGATGAGGGAATTGGGTGTAGCAATAGAAAGAACAACACGTCACGTAGTAAGAAGAACTTACTCCTTTGCCCTTAAACTGCCTCCTCTACATGTGGATAAACACCCATGTCCCTCCTACAACAGAAGAGCTTTTAAAACCAATTATGTTTATTATTAGCATTCCATTTATTTGTTTAATTACCTTTGTTTTTGAGCCAGTCTTTTTTATTTTTATTGTATGATCGGTGGTGTTCCCTTGGAACTGGAGTTACAGATAGATGTGAGCTGCTACACGGGCACTAAGACTTGAACCCAGGTCCTCTGGAAGAGCAGCCAGTGCTCCTAATGGCTGAGCTACCTCTCCAACCCCCAGATGAGCTTTCTTAATAGACCCCTTAGGAAAATAGTTTCATTTCTTTTTCAGTTCTGTAGCTGTCCTTGGGAGAGGAACAGGTAATTTACCAGTGCTAGCCACATGATTTCAGGGGATAATGGGCATGTAGATGCTATAGGAAATATGTTTTGCAATCTGAATTGAGCTAGAAATGGCCACTGTATTGCCAAGGTAACTTTGCTGTCCATTACTATCAGCAATATAGACGACCTATTGTAGATTCTAGAAAATAGGGTGCCTTGAGACTGGAGGGTCCGAGCTTTTATATAAGTCAGCTCATCTCAAAAAAGAAGCTTCCTGCGGTTAGTGTTCAGGAAATTCACCAGCACTTCGAACGCACAAGCCCAACCCCCTCTATTAGCAAATACCCTGAGAACTGGAAGTGAAACAATTTCTCCTTTGGAGAAGTAGCCACACACATTTACCTGTAACAAAGAGTTGTAACCAAAATGAACTTGCTATCAGCTGGAAGGGGACTGGCTGAACAGATAGACGTTCATTCATATGCCAGACATGCAGAACTTTACCAAACAAACTGCTGAGTTGGATAAAGGAAGTTGTGCCATATGGAGGGGAGTATACCATCAATACACAGGAATTTGCAGATAAAGAATATTTTATATTTTTTCATTACACAATTGCCCAGGTAAAGAACTAGTAGCTATTTCACTTGGGGGAGGTAGAGAGACCTGGGTGTGCACCTCAAGTAGTGTTTGAGTAGTATTTTAATTATTGATGTCTGTATAGATGCCCTCTAAAACAAAGGCATTCACAGTGCAAATGGGTTCAGAGGGGATAGCTGAAAAGCCAAGACATCTCTTCCTACCCACCCAACAAACACAAAGGAGAGTTACTATCCAACCTAGTAATTTGGTTTTGAAATTAAAATTCTATAGCTATGTGTCTGCATACTTAGCAGGTAATTCTTCTAATTGCTATATATGATTCAATGAGTTGAGTCAGGATCCTTTTAAATATAAGGCAGACCTCAGCTATTGTAGGGAAAAGGAAGCCTGCTTTCATTGTGCTCAAAGTAGCAAAACAGTTCCGAGTCCGGCGTTTCGCTCACTCAGCACTGTGGTGTTTTGACCGGAGAAGCTATTCTGGTAGAAGACTGTCAGCTGAGCATGTCACATGACTGACAGCACCTGCCTCCTGACAGTCAGGAGGTAGGTGATGCCCCAGTCCAGGTGACATGACACTAAATCATTATGGCCCAACCACAAGTGGCTCTGTCCCTGACATATCTTAGCTTTCAGGGTCAGTACCCTCTGTGCCTACCTTGGCCCAGGCTGCACTGATACTAAAATTACTGTTGGTCACTAGGCAGAGTATGATCCCGAAGGTTGAAGGTAAGGGCCTCTTGGCCCAGCCCACACAACTGGAACTCTAGGACTCTTGGGTGCTTTTGTGTTGAGATGGAGTTCCTGTTTAGCCCAGGCTGGCTTTGAACCCATGGTCTTCATGCCTCAATCCTCCTGAGTGCTGGGATTTCCGACCTGTTCCTTCCCTCCCACCATGCCTGGTTGGAGTCCCATTCTTGATGGATGCAGACTTCTTGAGTAAGATGAAACTGGACTGAGGTAAAGGGAGGCAAGCCTTAAAGCCATTTTCAGATGGCATGGAGAGGAAGGGAGGCAGGGCAAACGAGAAAATAAGAAAAGCGGAGTGAACTCGCCTTGGGGAAGTTAGGAAGCATGAATAAGGACCGTGAGTGGTGAAGACAGTTTGTATTTCTGACCTGGCATTTCAGATCTGGGGTGATGAGTGGTGGAGGAGTACCCAGGGGCCTGGCTTGAACAGCTCAGCTGCCTGGCCCGTGGCTCTGGGACTCACTGAGGTGAGACACAGGTCTCTGGGCTGGTCAGGCTGGGGCATCGTGAGTTGAAGGAATCTAAGTTGAGACATACGGGAGGAAAAAGGAAAGAATGGCAGGAAAATACCAAGGGTGAGTGTGGAAAACAGACTGTGTGTCATTCCGGGATTAACCGAAGTTCACCAACCCTACCCCACAGATTCTCTACTTGTGAAGGAACCAGTGGCTTTCCTCAAGGCCAACAGTGTTTGGGGAGCATTACGAGGTAAGTTCTGTGCAATTTCATTGTCTCTAGGAAAGGGACGTTATCAGATGTAAAATCAAGCACAGCAAAATGATGCCCCAACCTTCTTTATTTCCCTTGAAAAACTAGCCAAGCACTTAGATGCCTTCAACCCAAGATGCCCCAACCTGAGCCTCAGAGACCTTGTGTCTCACCTCAGTGATTCCCAGAGCCATAGGCCAGGCAGCTCAGGTCCTTGGGCATCTGTCCCCCCAGCACTCCTCATCTTCTGAGGTCTGAACCGCCAGGTCAGAAATGCAAACGGTCTCCGGCACTCAGTGTTCCTATTCACCCACACTTCCTACTTCCTCATTTAACCTTTAATATTTGATAGTGTGTGTTCATCCAGAGCATCGGACATGTGACTCGTGCGACAAGCATCAGAGTGTAAAGTTGTGGGCAGCTCTTTCTCACGTGGCTGGCAAGCCGCCCGTGGCAGAAACATGTTTTCCCCTACAGACAAATGACAAGGCAGTTATAATAAATAATCTGAAGTAAACACATTCCTATCTCAACACCTGGGAGGAGCACGAAAGCATAACCCAAGATCAGCTCCGTGGTTTTGAAGGAACGGAGGCCACACGACTCTTGTTTTCTTGGCGTTTTCTCAGAAGCACCCAGAATTCCCACAGGAACGGCGGGGGGCGGGGGTGGGGGGTGGGGGAGGGGGCGACAACGTGTGGATATGCGTGGCTCCAGCTGTTCACCCTGTGGTCATGAGCCTGCTTGGCTATTACTTTTATTTCAGGTTTTTATCTGGTAAATAACACAGTATCTTTTGCTTCCCTCCAGGTTTAGAGACATTTAGCCAGTTAGTTTACCAAGACTCTTATGGGGCTGTAAGTATTCCTATTGTTTTACTGAACCTGGATAGACATTGCTGTTAGGATGTAGCCTCCCCAGTTGTCTGGAAAGTTTTCTTTCCATATATATTTTTTGTTGTTGTTGTTTTTGTTTTTACGAGACAGGGTTTCTCTGTATTGTTTTCGAGGCTGTCGTCCAGCGCAGCCTCAAACTCACAGAGATCCGCCTGCCTCTGCCTCCCGAGTGCTGGGATTAAAGGCGTGCGCCACCAATGCCCGGCTTTTTTTCCCAATATATTTACTTACAAATTTCATGCATTTTTTGGTCCTAATTATTTAATTATTTATTTTATTTAATACACACACACACACACACACACACACATACATATATATATATATATAGTGTTCTGCCTGCATGTATCCCTGCAGACCAGAAGAGGGCACCAGATCTCACTACAGATGGTTTGGAGCCACAATGTGGGTGCTGGGAATTAAATACAGAAAGAGCAGCCAATGCTCTTAATTTCTGAGCCATCTTTCCAGGCACTGGTCCTAAAATTTTATCCAGTACTTGTATATAGTTGTAGTATTTGTTGAACTTGAGGAAAACATTCTAAAACTCATCAAAATTTATTTCTTCTCCTAGTTCACCATCAAAGAATCCAGTATTACTGACTCTCCAAGGTTTGCTCACAGAGGAATTTTAATTGATACATCCAGACACTACCTGCCCGTGAAGACAATTTTAAAAACTCTGGTAGGTGATTTCTTTACCAGATCCCTTGCTCATCCTGAAGATCTGCCCTTTCTTCAGAGTTCTTGTGCCCTCAAGTAGGCTGGGGTAAGAGAACTTGTTTTTCTTGTCCTAAGTCTAAGCACTGGGCTTCCAAATCCCTCCCCCAGGGGTTGAGGGTATGGGGGTAGGGAGGATGTTTCCCCATGTGGAATAAGTGGATCTCCCTTGTGTTTTCACAGGCAACATGAATTTGGCCAAGTCTGTTCTTAACTTTTATATTGTTTTAAGCCAGGCTGCCCTCAAGTTCCCAATCCTCCTGCCTCAGTCATGGGATTATCAGTATGTACTGCTGCATTTAGTGAGAACGGCAGTTCGGTTTGTTTGTTTGATTTGGTTTTGGTGGGTTTTCAAGACAGGGTTTGTATGGGTAGCCCTGGCTATCCTGGAACTCACTTGTAGACCAAGCTGGCCTCAAATTCACAGAGATCCACCCGCCTCTCAAGTGTTGGGATTAAAAGCATATGCCACCACATCCAGCAATAAACGAGAAAGGCGGTTTTAATACTTCCATTGGCCCAAGTATGTGCTCCCATTTGTCCATCAGGGGTCTCGACACATAACCTGGAAACATGGCCAAATCACTCTAGCTATTGCTTTTTTAGGTGACATAGAAAGGGGTCACCTAAAATGGAAATGTTCCAGAAGAATACAGAACCTTGGGGTAGCAGGTAGGAAGGAGGTCGATTATAACTCTTTTCCTGGGGGCTTTTCTTTTCTTTTTGTTTATTGATTTATTATGTATACAGTTTTCTATCTACACGCCAGCAGAGGGCGCCAGATCTCATTACAGATGGTTGTGAGCCACCTTGCAGTTGCTGGGAATTGAACTCAGGACCTCTGGAAGAGCAGCCAATGCTCATAACCTCTGAGCCAACTCTCCAGCCCTCCTGAGGGCTTTTCATTGCTTCGTCCTGACTACCACCTACCAGCATCCTCTAAGCCGCTTAAACTTTTTAGGAGACTACAAAGAACTTTCATATATTCTTTAATCAAGATTATATGAATTTAAAGTTTATGACTTAAACGTTTTAAATACTTGTTAAAGGTACTTAAAACTCATATTTGCCTGATTGTCCCAATTATAATGCCTGGTGGGTCCATGCAGTGGATGACTCAAAACACCTTAATATTAGTTCTTGTCTCCTATTAAAAGAATGAACACATCTCGAAATAGCGTTAGTGCAAGAGTCAGGAGCAGGAAGCTGTTAGCATGTGCCCTCCATTTTACCCGCAGTGCAGACTCCACAGCCCCCAGCAACAGGGTCTGCTTGTATTTCTTTGTTCCATCTCCTCAGTGACCTTCAGCTTGAAGCTGTTATCTTTCCTCATTGTGGAAGACAGTGGTACTTTAGAAAAGGACAGGCCAGTTACTTTTAGAAAATAGCTTAGGTCATCTGTTTCTCACATGAGATTCAGTTCCTGGAGCAAGAAAAAGCAGAAGTGGGCTGTGTCCCCAACAGTGTCAGGTGGCACACTGTCTCGCCACCAGTAATGACCACTCAAGTTGACTGACATGCCATCCGCCGTGCTTCTCCAATGTAAAATTAACTTTGTGCTAATTAAGTACCCTGTGGAAGAAATTGGGGGACTCTGTCAAATCCCCACATCTCCTCGGTGCTCACCCATAGCTGATCCTCACCTAAGTCAGGAGGTTATTGGTTTGACCGTCACCGAGTGGCGATTTCCCTAGTTCCATCATTTCTACATTTACTAGTGGTAAATGACCTTCTATATTCTATAGTAAGGCAGAGAATTCCTTTTTCATTTGAGTACTCATTATTTTGTCAGTCTGGGTTATCATTTTGCTTCATGTTAACACCCCTAACACCCTGCTGTGACCACTGGAAGCCCTTTCAAGCTGGCTTGTTATTCTTGAGAGATGTCCCCCTCAGTCCCTCTGTACTTTTGGCACCATGATAGCCTAGCCTTATGTAGCCTGGTCTCAGTCTAGATTCAGGCCATTTTCCCCCCAAGGAACCCTTTCAGTAGTCACTATTTCAAAACCCAGATTTGGTGTAGGTGGACATATCCCATGATTCTACAGACAGCTGGGAAGTGTACCGGTGTGTGTTCAGTATATTTATATGAACACGTGTGTACTCCTTTCCCTGTGTCTCTGTGTGTATATCAGGAGCTGGTTAAGTACAACCCAAGAGTCAAATCCAGTGCTGTTATGCTCAGGAGGCCTCGTTGGTCCTTTTTCCCCCACACCACAGTTAGGCTGGAAGACTTCTGTGATTTGAGAAGATGTAAAGTTGTTTTGTTTTCCTCTCACCAGCAAGCCAGCAGCTCTTCAGCAGGACATCAGCAGGGTGTCCTCACATCAAGCCCAGTTCTAATGCTGTCTACAGGAGGTAGTGTCATATCCCACAAGCTGAAGTCCCCAAGGCTATCCATCTCCCTTCTGACTTCAGACCCAAGCCCCAAGAGTTTTAACTATGCTTGTAATGTGCCACTATAAATCAGGGTTCCCATAATTCCCCCCTCCAGTTCAAATACCTTCCTTGAGTGGCTGTCAGGACTTAGATACACTCATCACTTTATTATAAAGGACATCACAAGGGCTGCAGGTGAAGAGGTGCTTGGGTTGGGTTTGGAAGCAGGGCTCCCACACCCTGTCTGGGTATGTGACTTCCCCAGGAACTCCTTGGGTCCTTTGGGGCTATATGGGGTCTTCATAGGTATGGTGGAAATACAGGCGCCGCATGGATGTGGTTAAACAGAGAGGGTGTGTGTGAAGCCCAGGAGACCTGCAGCTTCTGCAGGCCTCTCCTTGTCTTCTGAGCAGAGCCCCTCCCTGCAGGCCCTCCCGAAGAAGGGGGGTCTTGGGACCTACTACCAGATCAGATAGGTCAGAGAATTTCATGAAGGCCAGATCCAAGACAGAAACTCCAGCATGATTACTTTCTATGACCAGCCAGGAGGAAGAGATGCCCTAACTTCTACAACCTGCACTGGGAGGGAGTTAGGAACCAAGAGCCAAGCAAAAAACAAAACAAAACCGGTTAATGGTGGTGCACATCTTTAATCCCAGCACTTGGGAGGCAGAGGCAGGTGGATCTCTGTGAGTTCGAGGCCAGCCTAGTCTACAGAGCTAGTTCAGGACAGCTAGGGCTACACAGAGAAACCCTGTCTCAAAAAACAAACAACAAAATAAAATACCCGAAAATATTTATCCCAACATCACAGCCATCCATCTTTGCAGTGAGTTTCACTGGAATATGCACATGCATTGTTGCATACTGCTTTGCAGCTGGCAGAGTGGGGTGGTGGCAACAGAAATCTGGCCTGCAAATTGGAATATTTATTATCTGACCCCTTGTGTAAAGTTTTTGAACCCCTGGTCTGTATTAGAAATTAATGAGTTTATATTACTACTACTAATTTGTAACTCCTTTCTCTGACAATAAAAACCCTGCTATCTCTAATGTCTCCCAACTGCATCAGCCAAACCACTTTAGTCCCAACACAGAGAAGGGAGGCTATACATTTGTATTTTCTGGTAACACAAATCTACCCTGTATTATTTTGTCCTTTTTTTTTTTTTTTTTTTTTTTTTTTGGTTTTTCGAGACAGGGTTTCTCTGTATTGTTTTGGAGGCTGTCCTGGAACCTGCTCTGTAGACCAGGCTTGGTCTCGAACTCACAGAGATCCACCTGCCTCTGCCTCCCGAGTGCTGGGATTAAAGGCGTGCGCCACCACTGCCTGGCCTATTTTGTCCTTTTAGGAATTAGTTTTAAGGAATAAACTAGCTTTATTCCTTAAACTACAGTTTATTCCTTCATCATATACATTTCATTCAATATATCAAGGTGCCTAGAATTCTCTAGGCATTTGCTTGGCATTATATTGAGACTATAATGAATTTCATTTGCCAGGGTTCTCATATGTCATATATGATAGGCCATATGTGCCTATATATTAATATATGCCAGGGTTTTGCATATGTGGGAATTGTAAGCTTTGGTAATTACATAAATGCTTTGTTTCTCCTGTACTCCACTCCCTAAGACAGCCTCAGCCTCTTCATCCTCTATTCCTGGCAGACCTTGAATAAAGATAAATCCAAAAGCTTGCTCTCCTATACAGCAATATCACAGCTTCCTATATACAATGTATAGTTCTTATTGGGTCCTGGGACACACAATGATGGGAGACAGACCACCAAAGCCTAATAAACCAGAAGCCAGCTTTATTCAAGAAAAAAAAATGACCACGGGGCAAAAAAAAAAGTTTATCAGCTATAGCTAAGACCACAGCCAGCAGGGGGCGCTTCTCCTCCTCTTATAGCAAAATCAAGTACCAGGTGTGAGTCAAAAAGCGTCTACAACCTTGAGGTCAGGCTTAAAGTCACATTACATTTTAAGTTTTACAACTTTTTGTTATAGAATGTTAACTTAGGATATTTTCAAAAGCCTGTGGCTGGCACAGCTGTTTTTTTGTTTGTTTGTTTGTTTTTCTTTTTTTTGCTGTCCCTGAAAGAATGCAAGGCAGAGAATAGAGTCACATAGGAGGGCAGTTAAAATTTAAGAGAATACAACACAGAGGGTCCCATGGAGGCAACAGTTAGAAGCTGACCTTTGTTCGCTGTACCTGCCTGGCTGGGAAGTAGGAGACAAGAGTTAAGTTTCCCTCTGTACACAGTGGCTGCCAGGATGTCTGTTTTTTGTTTGGTTGGTTTTTTGTGTGTGTGTGGTTTTTTGAGACAAGGTTTCTCTGTGGCTTTGGAGGCTGTCCTGGAACTAACTCTTGTAGACCAGGCTGGCCTCGAACTCACAGAGATCCCCTGCCTCTGCCTCCCGAATGCTGGGATTAAAGGCATGTGCTACCACTGCCCAGCCAGGATGTCTGCTCTTAAGGCAGAAAGAGGTTGTTGAAGGTTAACAGAGGCTGCCAGCTTTATTATTGTTTTCTAAATGTGTTTGGGCTTACATTTTTATATTTGTGTATCCCTGGGCCCTTCCTTTCTGTTTCTGGGCCTTTCACTCTGTGCGTGGCTTAAATAGAGGTGTGCCAGTTTGGCTACACATGGTGAGTTTATACTTTCTCATCATTCTTCCTTCACTGAAAGAAATAGAAAAAGACGCACTTACTGGAAGCAGTCTCAATGTAGACGATACAATATGGTGTATAATTTTTCCCATCTTTGCTTTCAGGATGCCATGGCTTTTAACAAGTTTAATGTTCTTCACTGGCACATAGTGGATGACCAGTCTTTTCCTTATCAGAGTACCGCCTTCCCTGAGCTAAGCAATAAAGTGAGTAATTCATGTCGCTGTCTGTGTACAAAAATCCTTGGCATAGCTTCATTAGAAGATCATAGCTTATAAATGGAACCAACGTGTAAAAGTTAGGTATTTGTGGTTTAAAATCTATTGTAGGTTGCTGCTTAGCATTTTATTTCCATAAATCTTTTTGTACTGTTACAAATACTAAGTAGTAAATACTAAATACTAAGTATTACAGTAAATGTTATTTTAAACACAAACATCTCCGGGAGCAACAAACATGTTTTAAAAGCTTAATGTAGAAGCCCTGGGCAATTCATGAATAACACAGTTAAGATATTAAGATATTCACTTGCCTAGCAGTATATCTACTTTAAATAGGTTTGGAAGCATGTATACAACCTACTTCCCCAGCCCCTGAAACACAAAAAAGTAGGACATTTTATAGATGAGCTGTTTTTGTTGTAAGAGGAGGATCTCAGGCCAGCAGGTGGTGCACACCTTTAGGAAGGCAGGGCAGGAAGACTCAGTAGGCTGGAGGGAGGCCTGGTCTACATGGTGATTTTCAGTACAGCCAAGACTAGACAGAGATCACTCAATAAATAAAACAAAAGCCAGGGTCTCCTCTATCTCAGGCTAGCCGTGAACTTGCCTAGTAGCTGAGGATGATCTTGAAAGCGGACCCTTTGCTTCCTTCCAAGTACTAGGACCACTCTAGAGCAGTGGAACTGGGGAGGTCACCCGTGGGTCTCATCATTTACTCTCCCTATAATAGAGAATACTAGCTGATATCCAGCCGTGTGCCTTGCCAGGCCTCCTGTCTTCTGGCCACAGTTCCAACTCTGATAGCATCTGGGCTGAAGTGTATGGCAACAAGTCATTGATGTGGTGGCTGCTTCTGTTCTACTTTTATGTGCCATTTCCAGTGCACAGAGGGACAGGATCATTCATTCCGTCCCTAGTTCTACCATCAGTCTGTGACCAATTCTGCTGTCACTGGCAGACTCTACCCCCCCCCCCGCCCCCCGCTATTTTAAATCAAACTCCAGACTTATCTCACTTGCGAAAAGGCTTGGTTTTATCTAATCAGCCATCAATGTTAATATTTGCCTAAGTGTTTTCCTCTTATGGTCCATGCATTATAGATTGCCTAAGTGTTTTCCTCTTATGGTCCATGCATTATAGATATTAATGGGTCTGCTAATTCTTCTTGTAAATTACTGTTATTGAAGAAACCAATGGAATCTGGTGTCCTGTCTCTCTCTGCTGTCTTGGTTTTTCTGGTTGCATTCCCTGGTATCAATGAACATGCCCCCTATATTTTGATTTGGGGCTTAGAGGTCAAGATGAGTTCTAGAAGCCGAGCATGGTATAGCCTATATTTTGAGACAGGTGCCAACCCTTGTCTTCCAGTGGATCTTCATCATTACTTAGAATCAGTGCTAACTCTTCAAGTGACACCGAAAGACTGAGTTAATATTTAAACAAAATTAAGTTACTTATTGTCTGGGGGTGAATTTTTAGGTGATATTAATTACAGAGATTCGAAGGCAAGAAATCTGTGTTTTGTAATAATGGTTTGAGTTTAGATTCTAATTGACAAGATCAGTGTTTTCCAGTGTCTCGCTCTAGAGGCAAACGTTTTGCTGTTTTTTAAACAATTTTATTTTATATACCAATCCCAGTTCCCTCTTCCTCCCATGCCCCCCACCATCTCCCCATCCCATCATCCCCCATCCATTCCTCAGAGAGGGTGAGGCCTCCCATGGAGAATCATCAAAGTTTGTAGACATTCTTGAAGCAGAAGGCACTGACAGTCCCATCTGTGAATCTTGAGTTCAATGGACAGAAATTCATCATTTTTATAGATTCCTCCTCTGAAACCAGGAATCACCCAGTATTAGGCAGGACTATTTACTACCCTCTGATAATAGGAAAACTGGCCAGCAAAGTGCAAACGGAATTGTTTATGGTTTTCAGGACCAAATCCATCTTGCACATCTTAACTTGAATGTTACAGGGGAGCTATTCTTTGTCTCATATCTATACACCAAGAGATGTCCATACGGTGCTTGAATATGCCCGGTTCCGAGGAATTCGAGTTATACCAGAATTTGATACCCCTGGACATGCAGCGTCTTGGGGAAAAGGTAAGGAGTTTGCTTTACAGGTTGAAAAAGGGGCACTTGAGATCCTTTGTCTCTTTTTTTTTTTTAAGATTTTATTTATTTATTAATATGTATACAATGTTCTGTCTGCACGCCAGAAGAGGGCACCAGATCTCATTACAGATGGTTGTGAGCCACCATATGGGTGCTGAGAATTGAACTAAGGACCTCTGGAAGAGCAGCCAGTGCTCTTAACCTCTGAGCCATCTCTCCAGCCCCGAGATCCTTTGTCTCTTAATAGTGTGGTAGTTTTGTTCTTAAGTGTGGTTTGCGCAATGGTAGCGCAAATGCTACAGATTTTGTGTCCCTTCTTCATCACTGTCTAGGTACCACCTCATGTATCAAAGTTGGGGAAGTAGAAAACTTGATTATAAGTAGAACTTGATACCTTAGTTCCATTTTACTGATAGGCATGTTTTGGGAGATCACAGGATATAGTCATGTTTCTGTTGGAAGGAATAGCATGAGGAAAGGCATTCCAAGATAGAATGTAGTGGGAACAGAGTGGAAAATTTTTAGGAGATGCTACTAAGAATGTGGGTTCTGGTGCCAGCCTGTTTGCGTTCGATCCTGCTTTTGTCATTTGGAGTAAACCTTGGGCAAGTTAACATGTCACCTCCAGTTTCCCCATCTATAAAATAGGGCTAACATTTCTAAGCATCAAGTAAATTACAGAAAGTACACAGCATGGGACCCAGTATTTGTAATTGTTCAGCACACAGTAGTATCATGGTAGACATTGAAAACAATGGGAACTGAATCTGGGAAGGGCATCATCAAGGCTCTTGATGACAATAGAGGGCTTTGTCAGCACACCCCAGAAACCAGTGCAAATTTCTGAGTAGAGAAGTAACATGATTGGGGTCACTTTTGGGGAAAACCTTTGTGAAAGGAACTGACTGTAAAGAGAAAGACCCTGGCCGGGCGGTGGTGGCGCACGCTTTTAACCCCAGCACTCAGGAGGCAGAGTCAGGTGGATCTCTGTGAGTTCGAGGCAGCCTGGTCTACAGAGCGAGTTCCAGGACAGCCTCCAAAACAATACAGAAAAACCCTGTCTCGAAAAGCCAAAAAAGGAAAAAAAAGAAAAGAAAAGAAAAAGAAAGACCCTGGGGGTCCCACACTAGAAGGGTCTAGAAACGTTCTGGAAATACGTCTCAGAACTTGGTAACTGACTCCAGGAAGAGGAGCCACAGTATTTGGGGAGGCCAACAAGCAGACCTGGAGAAACCAGAAGAGGAGATTTGGGTTTTTTTGTTAGATTGTATTGAAAAACAACGAGGGTCTCTATTTGTATTGAGCAGGGAATCTGAACTATGTATTGAAGCTCAAAGAAAAAGTTTGAGTCACTGATATTTGAAGTGGGTAAGACCTCAAAGGTTGTGTAAAAGCAGAAAAAGAGAATAGAGGAAGCAACTCTTGTCTTCCTGGGGAGAAACTGCCAAATAAATCTTGGTAAATGTGGTTGGCTTTTCTATATAAAATTTCTATGGCTTCAACAACAAAGTCCAGATCATCAGGTTTATAGTGGTTTGTTATGATTGTATCAGAGGGATTCATCCTCAATAGAAACATGCTTTGATTCCTGGTCTTTTCCCAGGCTAGGGCTATGATCTGAGTAGTCACAGTCCTGAAGACTCCAGTCCCTAGCAGACACACAAACACAGATGTTGCAGTGTGTTGTATGCTGAACTACACTGGGTGGGTTAGTGTGTCAAATGAATTTTTGACTACTGATATTTTCAACTCATGAATTTATTGGGATTCAATACTATTGTAAGAGAAGGACCATCTATAGCATAAAGATGTGCAAATTCAGGTCTTTGTGATTAATATGCTTAAAAAACAAATCTTTGTATTTTCTTCTAGGTCAGAAAGGCCTTCTAACTCCATGTTACAACCCAAGCCAGCAAATAGAAAAATTTGGACCTATAAACCCAATTCTAAATACAACCTATACGTTCTTTAACACATTTTTCAAAGAAATCAGCAGTGTGTTTCCAGATCAGTTCATTCATTTGGGAGGAGATGAAGTGGATTTTGAGTGTTGGTATGTTAACTCTGAACATTTTATTTATTTTTTCAGTTTTTGTTCATAAGGTATAGAATCCACATAGACAAAGGAAAGATTGGGGGTAACATCTCTCCTAGTAAGGGTTTCAACAATTCCTGAGACGGTTTTATTAAAGAATGTGTATATGAGGGTAAACAAGGTAAACCTTGGGAAGAAGATGGGGGAAGAAGCTGGATGGCCGCCCATGCCTGTACTAAGGTCAAGGACAAGCCTGGGCTGTAGAGTGACTCAAGAAAAGACGATAACAAAATCTATAACCAGTCTTGGTGGCACACATCGAATTCCCACACTCAGGACAATGAATGTGAAGTATTGGGAGTTCAAGGTCAACCTGACTATAGTGAGACTGTTTCAAAAAAGACGTAAGACTGTAAGGATGAGAGAGCTTTAGTGAAAGGGGGGAAAACTAAATAAGGAGGATGTTCAAGTCAGAGTCCTTAGCTTGTAAAGAGGCTGAGATGAAGGATGGGTATGGAAAACCTTTTTTTAAAATAGGAGTCATTTCTGGAAAAGCATTTCTCTGAAAAATACTTTGCATTAGAAAGCTAAGGGAACTCATAACCAAGAACCTGGATGCCTTTAGTATGTTAAAGTCTGTATAGCTGACGTTTTAGATACACAGTTTCATACTATAAAGTGGGCACATCACAATGTCTGTAACATTGCATTCACTGTTTTATTTAAGGTCATCAAATCCAAATATCCTCAATTTCATGAAGAAAAAAGGTTTTGGTAGGAACTTTATAAGACTGGAATCTTTTTATATTAAAAAGTAAGTCACTGGAAAGCCTATTTATCAATGCTTTTATACAAGTTTAAGCTATAACTTAGTTCTCTGCTTTACTTTTCCATTTTCTCCACCCTTTACAAAAGTTGAGACAGGAAAACCCACTAAAGAAGGAAGTGCTATACACTGTTTTCTTTAAAATGATGAGCATTTTGCAATAACTATTGAAACAGAGGGAGAAGCCATGTATTTGAGAACTTGGCTCTGAGTCCTGGCTGCCTGCATTGCTATCACTACCCAGATGCTGCAATTAATTTCATGTGTCAAGTCCTGGAGCATGTCTCTTGCTCCCTGTGCTGTGGGTCCAGCACATGCTCGCTTGTTGCATTAGAGTTAAAGGCAGTTAAATCCTCAGCTGCATCAGCTTCATGGCCAATGTTTCACAGGACGGTGCAGGCACGTTTCCCAAAAGGTCTGACTGTGCTGACAGTGCTGCTCTGCTGGGAATCAGCACATTGTTTTCCATACAAGAACCAGGGTCTTGGGCTTCATGAACCATGTGAAGGAGAGGGAGAGAGGAGAGGGAGGAAGGGGGAAGGAGGGAGGGAGAGAGGAAGAGAATTTTGCAGATTCAACAACCATTCTTAGCTTGTCAGTTGTAGAAGGAAGGCTGCAGGCTGTGGCTTTCCAGGTTCTGCTCTGCTCTATCCATTTGGGAGGCTCGGAGTTCATTCTGCTCCTTCCTATTTAGCTTTTTGTATGATGTTTTCTTTCTTACTTACCCTTTCCAGTGTTAGTACCTAACTAAGTACCTGTGCCAGCTAATAGCCGAATGTTATTGACATGACATGTCAGCCAGGTGTCAGTTTCCTTTCTTCCAACCTGTGGATCTCCACCCATTTAAGGCCATTGGAAATATCAGATGTTTACATTACGATTCACAACAGCAGCAATATTACAGTTCTGAAGTAGCAACAACAATACTTTTATGGTTGGAGGTCACAACATGAGGAACAGTATTAAAATGTAAGAAGTGTCACAAGCATAGGGAACAGAGCTCAGTGTTGAAGTTGTCTGCCCTGAGGCATCTCCTGAGGGATCTCCATTCATGTATGGCTGACTCTCACAAGTCACAGTGAAACACTCAATTAGAAGGGCAGATGCATCCAGGGAGAGTTAGGTGAGGGAGCAGTACCTAAGTGGTTCAGTGGAGGCTATGGGAGTGACTGGAGGACTTTGGAATTACATTGTTTAAAGAGGTGATCTGTAAGATGTAAGGGGAAGCTTATATATGAGGAAGACAAAAATATGGATCAGTATTTAAAAATTAAGTCAAGCTTTCTAGAGGGTAAGAAATGTTTTTAATAATCTTTTAGAGAGCACACTTTCTGTGGAGTTTCTTTGGAAGTCTTTAGTCAGCAAGACATATCTCAGGTTGTCTTAAGGCCAAAGGATTCTTTCCATTTCCCACACCCCTTAACCTTGTCCTATCTCCCTCCCTTGCCTCCTACTCAACTTTAGCTGGTTCTGTATAGCTATGTTATACTGAGGGACAGTACTTCTCAACATTGTAAGCTGTTCGTGGTATAAAACATGCATGTTTAAGAGTGCTAACTTTGTGATCCTAAATAACTGTCAATTTTTCCACTGTTAGCATTTTCAATATTATTACATCCTTGAAGAAACACTCCATTGTTTGGCAAGAGGTTTTTGATGATGGCATAGAGGTAAGAACTGTGAAAACTCCACTCAGAGCTGGAGTGATGGCTCAGTGGGTAAGACTGCCTGCTGTACCAGTCTGAGCACCTGTTTAAAAGTTGGATGTTTGTCAGCAGTTAGGTTGGATGGAGGAAGGGCTGGAGGGTTCCATTTCTTCACTGCTGAACTCCTTGCTACAGATAGATTCAAGGATAGGAGGCATTACTTTAGTGTATATATACTGATGACCCTACCAGGTCCAACAGATAACACCAGTCCAGTGGTCACACAAACCAAGTCACTAGTGGGAGAAAGGGATTGGAGATTCAAGGGAGAGACTAATCAGTGAGTATTATATACATATATGAAATTGTCAAGGACAAATTTAAAAAAAAAGCTGGCTGGGCAGTGATGGTGTGCTTTAATCCCAGCACTTGGGAGGCCGAGGCAGGCTAATCTGTGAGTTGGAAACCAGCCTGATCTGCAGAGTGAGTTCCAGGACAGCCAAGACTGTTAAACAGAGAAACCCTGTCTCAAACAACAACAAAGCCAAGCATGGCCTAGTGTGCACCTGTAACCCAAACACTGTCAGGGCTGGGACAAGAAGGTTGCTGGGCCTTGCCGGCTCCAGCAGGGCTCCATGTGCAGTGAGACTTTCTTGAGGGTGTATGGTGATTAGAGCAGGATGGCAAGCCTAGCCATCCACATGTGTGTACAATTACAGTGCGCAGACACAAGACTCCATTAGTAATGTGGACAACTCACTGTTTCCTTCTCATTTCTTCCCCCAGCTCCTGCTGTCTCACAAGTTGAAGTATTTTGAATTAAGTTCTTTTTTTTGTTTTTAGGAGCAAAACAGACAACAGTTGAGCTTTTTCAAAACATAGTGTTAAAGTGGTTTTAAAGTAGGTAAAATCAGCCGGGCGTTGGTGACGCACGCCTTTAATCCCAGCACTCGGGAGGCAGAGGCAGGCGGATCTCTGGAAGTTCGAGGCCGGGCTGGACCGACAGCCTCCAAAACAGAGAAACCCTGTCTCGTAAAGCCAAAAAAAAAAAAAAAAAAAAAAAAATTAAAGTAGGTAAAATCAATATACACTTTTAAGAAACATTTTTTTCTGACATAATTATTTATTTGTAGTGGATCTCACAAGTCCAGCTACCACTGTTACCTCTCTGGGGGGGGGGGGCTGGTGATAGTCTCATGGTTCCAAGTTAAGTAGTGTGGTGGGAATAGGATTTAGGTGAACATCTTACCCTGAGTTCTTTATGTCTCTGAGGTGTTAGCTCTAGGCAAAAGTTAAATGTCCAGTTTTAAGGGTTGACAAAATGTGAATAGCAATGAAAACACAGTGAGTGAATATTGCAGAGCACTGACTATTTGGAAAAAGAAATTAGGATGCATGATTTTTTTCCTAAGATCTTAGAAAGTTATGTTTACTACTCATAAGTCCAAGGTCTTAAAGATTGTAATTGCTAGACCTAATACTGTGATTGCAATCTGCACCTTTAGCTTCAGCCGGACACAGTAGTTGAAGTATGGAAGGGTGAAAATTATTTTGAGGACCTAAAACAAGTCACATCATCTGGCTTTGCAGCAATCCTTGCTGCTCCTTGGTACTTAGATGCCATTAGCTACGGGCAAGACTGGAGACGATACTACATGGTAGAGCCTCTTAATTTTGTCGGTAAGTAAAGCAACCATCATTACTGCTAGTTTCTTGCGTAACTTGCATTCTCTTCTCCCAAATGTAACCTGGATGCCTATTATCTCTTTTATGTCTGGTCTTTGATTTTATTAAAAATAAGGCTCTGGTATCATTTTAACTTCTGAAAGAAACAGTGTGCTACTCTAAATGAAATAATACATAAGTAGATCCCACTTAGATTTGCCTCCATTTCCATGGAGTTGCTTTCTATATCTGAGAGATGTTTGACTGTGTTAACTCTGTAAGGCATCTAAGTAAGGTTACCATTTGCTTCTGTGGGTTTCAGGCTGTGTAGTCCTGGGTTTTCAGCCACTTTATTAGCAGTTCTAATTTATACAGTTTTTGTATATCAGTCGTTAGCTTAGAAAATGATGTTATGATTAAAAATCTCAAAAATAATGATCCACTGATCATTTCTCTACAAAGCATTTTGAGGATCAATCATAATTATAAAAGACGGTTCTTAGACACCAGGTAGTGATGGCACATGCTTTTAATCCCAGCACTTGGGAGGCAGAGGCAGGCAGATCTCTGTGAGTTCAAGGCCAGCCTGGTCTACTGAACCAGTTCCAGGACAGCCTCCAAAGCCACAGAGAAACCCTGTTTCAAAAAATTAGTTCTTGGATACTCTATTTTGTTTTGTTATTAAATAGCAAGGAATATAAGCCAAAGATAAGTGTAGTGGTCATAGTCCATTAAAATGAAGGTAACATTCCACCGTGTATTTCCTGGCACACCGCTAATAATAGGAAGTAGGAGGAGGTGTCCAAAGAGTTTGTAAGGATGCTATGAAAAGTATCTCCTCCTGGCTCAGCACAGGCCTCTATGTCTGTTGAATAGCACTGCGCCAGGGTGGGAGTAAAGGTTCTGTTGCCCACAGGGTGTAGGGTGTGAGAAGATAACATTGGGTGACGAGAGAAAGCAAGCCAGTGTTATACAGTTTAACTTCTTTCCCTTCGACCGCTTTAATGCAGGCTCGAAGAAGGAGAAACAACTTGTCATTGGTGGAGAAGCTTGCCTATGGGGGGAATATGTGGATGCAACTAATCTTATTCCAAGATTATGGTAAGGAATTAAAGGAATGCATGCCACCTGCCTTACAAGATGCCTTGGGTCTTAGTCTCCATGTAAGTAGGAAAACTCTGAAGAATTTCCTTAAATAGATGACTTAAGAGAAAGAGAAATCTAAATTGCCTTGGGAGACACACATTTTAAATTTCAGGCCTCGGGCAAGCGCTGTTGGTGAGAGACTCTGGAGCCCTGCAACTGTCACTAACCTAGACGATGCCTACAGCAGACTGGTGATCCACCGTTGCAGAATGGTCAGGTGAGGCGCTCCCTTCCAGTCTAGGATGTCTTATTAAAGTCCAGCACTCAGTGTAACTAGTGTCTTCAGCTTTTTGCTTTGCAATAAATAAAAATGTCACCTAGGAAGTAATGATTTCCCTAGTAAAAGTTGGACATTCCTTGTGGCAGGGGAGAAAGTAACACCTGTAAGATATAGTTTAGTATAACTGCCATCTTAAAGGGTTAGAAGCTTAAATCAGAATCAGTAAGTCATTGAAGGGGGGGTGTATGATATGATTTATTAAAGTGATGTGAGATAGGAGAGCCACCAATCTAAAACATCTTTTTTGTTATCTGTCAACAGCCGTGGAATAGCTGCACAACCTGTTTTTACTGGACATTGTAGCCATGAGTATGAAATGAAAAAGTGAACAAAAAAAGTCTATAGCTGTTTGAACTATAATCATGTTGGTTTTGAAATCATGTAAAACTACTGTTTGTTAGGTTTGATTTTTTGTTTTTGTTTTTTTAATAAACCGTGTTTTTATTGATTGACTACCTGTTGTATCATACATTGATACTGGCATCTTTTATGTGAGCAGCTTAAAAAAGAAAAGGAAAAACTTTGTGATACCACCCAAATATTCCAAAGGGCTACAAAATTCCTTCATTGTTGTGATGGATTAACAGAAATGTTGAGCTAGATACAAGGCTCAGCATTTAAGAGCACTTGCGACTCTTACCGAGGCCTGAGTTCAGTTCCTGGATCTACATGGTGGTTCATAACTTTCCATAACTCCAGTTCCAAGGGATGTAACATCCACTTCTGACCTCCATAGGCACCAGGCACACACATGGTACACAGATAATGTACGCAGGTAAAACACTCAAAGGGAAAAATGTAAAAAGGAAATTTTAAATGAGCAATTATGTTCTGCATAGACCCGAGCCTTTGCATAGTTCCCAGTGGGTGGTGCTATTTGGGGAGGTCTAGGAAGTCCAGCCTTGCTTGAGGAAGTTCATCACTGGGTGGACTTGGAGAGCTCACCGCCTGGCCCCACTGCTAGTTTTCACTGTCTGCTCTGTGCTTGAGATTAAAGATGGGCTTTCTCAGCTTCCTGCTGCCTTACTATCCCTGCAATTATGGACCCTCCTTCAGGACCTTTATGCAAAACAAACTCTTTTATAAGCTGTCTTAGTCAGGTTATTTTATTGTGTAACAGAAGTCAGGGATCCACCAGGGCACACAGTTGGGGGCATTTATAGCACAGCACATTCCATACAGAATGAGAATGGCAGCTCCAATGCCATCATCTTTCGTCAAGTTCTTTCCATATACTGAAGCAGTAATTTACCAGCCAATGAATAAAACAGCGTTCTTACTGAGAAGGCAGTGGTCCGTGCTTTTCCAAGCATTTCTCCGTGTTCCCAAGGATCTACAGCACTTGGGCCAAACCACTTCTCTGGCTGAGCAGAGTACTTTGGTCTTGAGGACTCATGGCTTGATAAGAAGAGAATTCTAAAGCAAAAGTAGCCGAGCCTGATGTCAGCGTTCGAAGCACAGTTGAATATCCCTAATGAAAAGAATTTCAATTTGTTACTAAATTTAATTAGGCCTTAAGTTTCTTTTCCTGCTGAGTGTCTGTAGACCACAGCCGAGAAGGCGTTGGTAAGTCAGAGCCATACCATTGACTCCAGGTACATGAGAGAGAGGGGGAGGGAAAGAGGGGAGAGAGGAAAGAGAGAGAAGATAGAAAGAAAAAGAAAGGAAATATTATAGCAAACAGGAAAAGTTAGCATAGGGTGAGTCAGTTGTGCACTCATTGAGAGGCCCAGGAATTTGGCACTATCACTCTGACCTTCCACCTGGTGCCTATCCCAGGGCAGAAGCACCTGGTTGGGAAGAGAATGATGTTGGCTTCAGAACTAAGGCAGAAAGGGGAAAACAGTCATTCAGACTGATCACATTTGGGACAGTGTGCCATAATCTTTGTGGTCCTAAGGTGGAAATAACCTGCCTGAAGTGCTATGTTCCCTAGCTCTCACCCACCACCAATGGCCAAAGTCCTATCATTCTTGGTTGAAACTTGGCACACATTCTCTAAAGCCAAGCCCCAATGCCTGTAGGTGTTAGTGGCCACCTAGTTTTACTGAGAGTAGATCTCCTATATTAAACAGTATGTACAGTTCAAACACCAAGAACTTACCATCATCTCTGCTAAAGGAACAAATCCTATAACAACTTTGCTGTCCTGGCGAGTCTGAATTTCCTGAACATTCCCTCTTCTTTGTGCCAAATCTGCCAGGACAGGGCTGAGGTAATCTTCAGTCACTGTGACCTCAAGACTCATCAGCGGCTCCAGGACCTGCTTGTCAGCTTTCTTTAGAGCCTGAAGGGATTTCATAAGTTGAACAAATTTCTATTCTAGTAAAAGAAAGGTACATAAAAACTGAACTATTTTTTCTATATTCTTGAGCTTAGGGCTCTGGTAACCCACTTGCTTCAACACTCCACAGAAAACATTTTGTAGGCAACCAAGAGCCTTGATGCTTGATAGTACATGCCAGTGGCCACATGTTGGGGAGGGCAACCGCAAACAGTCAAGACAACAGAAACATTCTTTATAAACAAACCCTTTCCTTGTATAACACAGTTTACAACTTTAGACTTCAGAGGCCACAAAAGGAAGCTGAAAAATGTTTTCAAGATAATTATGTGGCAAAGGCAAAAATTAAGGGGAAAATGGAACTGGACTCTGCAACTCAAGAGTGGCGCCCCCAGAACTGTCTTCTCAACATTACCGTGCCAGTCTGAGGGCGCCACTCTTGCTCTCCAGTTTCTGCGATGGTATTAATGTTTTCAGTTCACTTGTACATCCTCCTGATCCCCTTTTTTCAGCAAACGCCATTATCTCTATACCTGCTGCTGGTATCCTGATTCAGACCTAGTCTACTTCCTGTCTGTCCTAGACTGTCTTTCTCATACCAGTCACTTCTGTGCTCTGACAACACATTTATCCTCCACTGTTCCCAGAACAAAGTTCAGAGCCCTTCCAGTGTAAGCTAGATGCTCCCACCTGGGAAACAAGCATGGAGCTGCTACTGGGTGACTGAAGCCAGAGGCAGATGGCCATGCCACTCATTCCTCAGGCGACCACATCGGGATACTCTGAGAGGGAAGGCACTCGGCCCAAATCTGTTTCTCAATGGAACTGATCTGGTTTTTTAATGAAATCAATCTAATTTGAACAAACTCAAAAATTGGAATTAATATTAGATTTTCATTGTTTACATTAAAGCCCAGTGTCAAGCTAACCCCAAATCTGTTCATTTAAACCCACCATGCCTGCAGCTAATGGTTGTGTTTGGAAAGGGGGAAACACAGATCTTTTGCTAAAACCAGGATGTTTTAATAGCAATCTATGTAACCAGTAATTTCTGAAATATTTCAAATGAAAACTTGGTTTAAGGACAAAGATTCCCCATGCAAGAACCAGTTTAAAAATTTGAAATTACATTTATCTATGTGTAGCATGTGCTCATGAGCAACACAGTGTGTATGTGGTGGTCAGAGACAACTTTCAGGAGTCAGGTTTCCTTTCTACCACATGAATCCTGGAGATTAAAAACAATCAGGCTTGGCAGTGTGTCTTTTATCCAGTGAGCCATCTTGATGACTCCATAGCGCCTAGAACACAAAGTCAGCTCTGTCAGCACAGCTGCCTGCAGAATCTATGGTGCTCACTCCATGCATTCCTTTAAAGCGGCAGCTAGGGGACTGCTCTATACCTTGTGTTCCCTAGAAACAGAAGCAGGACTGCTCTGTACTTTGTGTTCCCTAAAAATGGAAACAGGAAGGCTGCTCTATACCTTTTGGACACATCTTGAGATACAGGCATTAACCATAGTTGTGGAGGTACCAGGGTGAATCATCAATGAGTGTAACATTATTGCCACATCTTGAACTGGGGATCCAAGTAAAGGTCCTGAGTAAGGAGGAAAATAAAGCAGAATAATATAAACAATACAACAACAAAGAATCATGCATCAAAAACACAACTGAAGCATACAGAAATACAGAGGGAACACTGAAGCATCTGTAAAACATGGAATAATTAGGAGGCTAGTGTAATGCAGAGGCAGAGTACATTCTGGTTTGTACAAGAAACGGGCTGAAATTACAGGATGAAGAAAGGAGGGACTACACAGTCAAGGGGAAGATTGTGCTCTTATTTGCTTCCCTTACCCTGGAGGCATGCACTGTGGACTGCACTTTCAATGGCCTCACGGGAGGCCTGCACTAGATCGTCACTGACACAGTCAGCATACTCAATCATAGCCATGCCAGGTGATGCTTCCACTGGCCGGGCTTCCAGTTCTGCTCTCACAAAATGCCGCTTGTCTCCTAGAGTCCTGTCTAGGGTATCTGAAAACACACACATTGAAATGCATGAAAATAAGGAGGTGGCTGCAGACAATGCTCAACTTTCGGCCAAGAAAAGAAGGAAGCAAAGAAAGATGCCAGAACCAGACTGTCAAGGGACAGGCGCTGAAACTGCCTGCTTCTAAGTCTGAGTCCACTCAAAAATAAGTCTTTAAGAGTACCAAATAAATGGCCCCGGGCTGGAGGCATATGCCTTTAGTTCCAGAATTCAAGAGGACGAGGCAGACAGATCTCTGTGAGCTTGAGGTCAGTTTGGTCTACAAAGTGAGTTCCCAGATAGCTAGGGCTGTTACCCTGTCTTGAAAAACCACACACACACACACACACACACACACACACACACACACACACACACACACACACACACACACACACGAGAGAGAGAGAGAGAGAGAGAGAGAGAGAGGGAGGGAGGGAGGGAGGGAGGGAGGGAGGGAGGGAGGGAGGGAGGGAGGGAGGGAGGGAGGGAGGATGGAATAAATGGCCAGAGCTTGAAAAAAGGTAACAATAAGATTATAACACATCTAGAGAGTATAAAAAGTGGCTAATGAAAACTATAAGACTTGTTCCTCTGTCAATTTCCAAATTGTTAAATTTCATAATTCTTTCAGCAACATTTAATGTTTCTTCCCCCCCCCCAAAAAACCCCTTTCTTGGAATATAGGTAAACAGTTCTCCTTGTTTTTTGTTTGTTTTTTTCCTACTTTTTTCTTTTTTCAAGACAGCCCCACTCTGTAGCTCTAGCTCTAACTATCCTGGAACTTGCTCTGTAGACCAGGCTGGCACTGAACTTACAGAGATTCACCTACCTCTGCCTCCTAAGTGCTGGGATTAAAGGTGTGCGCCACCATGCCAGGCTCTAGTGGGGATTGAACCCAGAGACCTTGCTCAACCACTGAGCTATGGTCACATTCTTACAGCTCTTGTTTCCAACAGCTGCTACCAGGATTCTACTGAAACAAGACAGCTACATTCACGTGAGTAGCAATGTAGTGCAACAATTCAGATCCCAGGTTCAAAACTAAAAACGGAGCCTTTATAATTCCCTTTGAGCTCACTATTATGATATATCTAAGAAGGTATATATAAGCTAAAAATAAAACGATAAATA